ACCACAGAATACCTTAGCTATAGGGAAGAGACAGTAAGCGTGACTCCGTTAAGTATCTGTCCCAAATTTTCAAGTCACACATTATGACAATTAAATTCACGTGTACAGGGTGCCCCATTTTCGTGTTTTATGAAGTTTATCGTTTATGAATAAAGACACAAAGATGCGGTTTTCATATCACTATATTACTATTTTTTTTATAAAACTAAAGATGCTATACAGGGTTGCGCCTCTCATACGACGCGGAAGTTTCAAAGAGAACAACAGTAAATATTGAAATGAAATTTTGAGAGCATATGTAGATCAAGAGGTCTACAGGGTGTCCCAAAAAAAATATTCATCAAAGTTGTGTTTTTTGTAATGGAACATCCTATATATTAATCGATTTTCGGATTCTAGGAAAAAATAAAGGTGCGTTTTATTAAAGAAGCATATGACTAAAATGTAAGGTTTTTGACATATTTAATATTTTCTAAAAATGAAGACCAAATTTTAAATTTCAATAAAAGCCACCTAAGTTAAAATAACCATTGTATATTAAACCAAGCCAAATTTTAATTTAAAAAGTTAAACAGGGTGTGACAAAAATAATATTGAACATTTTGTCACTTTCGGTAGGTAACTCCTTTACTTTAAATGGAACACCCAGTATATTGTTATGCCATTCAATGAGGAATTCATGTCCTTTCAAAATACTGTTAAGGTTGCCTACCCACCAGAAAAATACCTTTCTAGATATTTCCATTTTTATGATTTAATTTTTTTTATTAATATATTTTTAAAAAATGCCTTTAATTGATCTACATATGCTCCCAAAATGTCATTTCAAAACTTTGGTGTCCCATTTAAAATAAAGGAGTTGCCTTCCCAAAGAGACCAATGTTCAATATTATTTTCGTCACACCCTGTAACACATTTCGAATCAAGTTTTGGTTTGGTTTAAGATACAACGATTATTTTAATTGTATATTAGAATATACAGGATAAATTACAATTTAGGTGGCTTTTATTGAAATTTAAAATTTAGTTATGGCGAAAAAACTAGTTATACAACTGAATTCTATGTGAATAATTTTACGGGACACAAATTTCACCTGTATGATAAGTTGTAAGATAATCAAGATATAAAGGGACGTAAGCACTAAAAAGGCAAGGACAAATGTGAGTGTAGCATGTTTAGCTCCATAAAAAAGTAACACAGTAATGTGAAAACCGCATCTTTGTATATTACTACTACTCATAAACGAGAAACCCTGTATAACACTCAAAAAATGGGACGCCCTGTACACTGGAAAAAAGTCTAGAATTTTACTGAAAGATATTTTGAAATATAATTTGATAAAAATAATTTCTTTATGCAACTGTTTTGTGATATTTTATTTGATACCTACTACATTTAGTAGATACAAATTTTATAATACTTATAAACGTAATTATACGAGATAGAAGAAATGGCCTCTTTCACTTCTGTATGGTTAAAATCTGTCCAACGGGAGGCATAGATAAATTTTCCTTTAATTTTATAAATAAAATAGAGTGTGTTGCATACAAGAAACTTTATTTTATATAAGGATATGTACGTGAAATACCTATGAAACATTGGAAACCGACGGACGGGACGTTATGCCACTATCCACGATGGTTTTTACAGTTCATAGTTCACAACACAGTATTTTAATTTTTTTCGTCATACTATATTGTTATATTATTATAACATAAGCAAAATCAGAATGGAAAAGATGCATATAACGTCCGCCGGACGTTATCATAACGGCCGGCGGCCGTTAAGTTTCTAAGGTAATCGTAACGTCTGTCACCTGCAACAATGACTATTTATTGTCAGTTGGACTTTTCAAAAATTGGGAAAATAGACCATAGCGAGATGTCGCGAGAAATTCCGTTGGAAATACAGGAGGAAGCGGCTGCGGCTACTCAAAATTTACTTCCGACTATAACCAGAGAGAGATATCAGCAGGAATATGACAATTTTTTGAAGTGGCGGCAGGATAGAAGTATAAACAGCGTAAATGAAGCGGTATTGCTGGCTTATGCTAAAAGAATGTCTGAAATGTATTCTCCTACATCACTGTGGACAAAGATATCCATGCTGAAGCTTGCGTTGAGAGTATATGAAAACATCGACATATCAAGGTAAAAAGCCATTATATTCTTCGATATTTAATCATACTCATCTAAATTATATTTGTTCATAGATTTGGTAAACTGTTCATGTTTCTGAGGCGCAAAAACGAAGGTTATTCACCAAAAAAGCCAAAGTTCTGTCGGAGAATGACATAAATAATTTTCTACTGGATGCCGATGATTACACCTGGTTACTCGAAAAATTGTATTGGTGCTTGGTATTCTTGGAGCTTGTAGGCGCAGCGAGCTTTGGTCACTCACAGTTGATGATTTCGAAGATTCGGAGAAAAATATTCTTGTCTCATTAAGAAATACTAAAAATAAGAAAGATAGGAAATTTCTTATTCCAAAAACGGGCCTTCCGTTTGATGCCTATGGTTTATACAAAAATACATCAACCTGCGTCCTCGTAACTTTGACAATCCAAAATTTTTCATTGGTTACAAGAAAGGCAAGTGTGTTAAGCAAATCGTCGGTATACATACCATCGGGAGCGTACCGCAGAAAATTGCAAAATTTTTGAACTTGGAGAATCAGAACGTTATACAGGGCATTCATTTCGTAGATCATCAGCAACCATGCTCGCCGAAAATGGTGGTGATTTACTATCGCTAAAGGAGCTAGGAGGATGGGAGTCTTCAACAGTGGCAGAAACTTACATAGAAAAATCAGTTTCCAAAAGAATGAAAATAACAAATCAACTTTTCATGATAGCTCCAAAAATAATGTGTCTTTAGTGGATACAAATATTTGCCATTCTTCAGTAGCATCATCTTCTTCTATAAAATCTGTAAATCCCTGGGAAGGATTACAGATTTCTAAGAACAACAAGTGCACTTTTAATTTCCATGTTCATTATCATGAAAAATGAATTTTAGTATAAGACATTATGTATTTTTATCCTTACTTGTGTTATTGTTCAATAAAATTTGTTATTAAATAGTAGTGTTTATTGCTCTAAAAAATCTGCAGTATGACGAAAAATCTAGAACGCAACACGGCCGATAACAAATAACGGCCTTGGCTGCTTATGATCCTCGGCTATCGCCTCGGATCACAAACTTCAGCCCGGCCGTTATTTGTTGTTTATCGGCCTTATTACGTTAATAACTATAATGCCACTTTTTCACAATTATCACGGGTTTGAGTAAGTAAAATTTAAATTAAACTCATAAGACAGCAATAATTACTTTGAGAATGGACGCTTTCAACACTTTTCGGTATTTTTTCAATGAGATCGGTTTAACTTTTGAAAGATTTTATGACTTTTGAAGATTCTAACTTTGACAAGAGAAAATTATTTGTTATTGTTTGGCGGTTGAACTTAGCAACCGCTATAGCAGCGCCAGATCGCGTACAACGGTCGCGACCCAAAGCAATTATATATTTTGACGAGCTTTCCAATCTAAATTTATTTCCTTTATCTATGACGGGGGGATCCCTAACAATGACAGATATTGTCTATCAAAATCTTCTCTGACTCATTGGATATACTTTAGGTATTCTGTGTCATAACCAGAACAGTAGTAGTTCATTTGTACCAAAACATTTTAGATATAAAAAGAAAATCCGCACCACAGACATTTAAGTACAAAAGTGCCCTATTATAACAGTTATCAGTGAGTATTGGGGAGTCTTGTAATTGATTGTTCAGCTGCTTGACGCCACGAAGGAAATTAAAAAGACCATTGCCAATTTTCGCAAAGGAAAAGATCATTTGTACGTCTCATAAATAAAAATAAAGGACGGAATAACGAAATAGTTTCTTTTATTTATTTTATTTGTTCGTTAAATTTTAAAACCTAATAATCTAATAATTTATACAGGTTGCACCGAAATTGCTATCAAACGAATTAAAATTATTAAGTAGTAATGTTTTAGTTTGTATTAGAACGTGATAAACATATAAAACTTAAATAAAACATCAGTGCGCTTAAAATTAGTTAAATATTTTTATTTTCGCGTTTTGTACTAATAGGAAAAAATTAGCGATGGCCTGACGGGGGACACACACGTTGTCTTAAATTAAACTACTATCAGTCAGTAGGGTGTACCAGGTGTTTTTTAAAAGAGGCTCACTATAACTATTTTAATTTTTAAGATAAAAAAAAACGAGATTTGGTATGTTAGTATGCTGGGTGGACCGAAGTGTATTCCGGAAACTTCAGCAGCATATTCTGCAGATAAAAATTAATAAAAAAGTTCGTATAAATGTATGTCCTAAAATGCTTAATTTCGGAGATACAGGGTGTAGAAGTTTTATTTTTATTTCGATTTTTCCAAATAATTTCTAAAGTAACATCAATATTTTGATGAAAATTGGTGTCTGGTAGTTTTTTGACATGTGAAATTTGATTTTGTTGTCAATACAACTCCTATTTATAGGGGACGCCACCTACACGTGTTTTAACTGTTTTGAAGAGTAATAACTTTTCTTCCGTACCTGTATAAAACTACTGAGTGAAAAATTATATATTTCCGCGACTTTTTACGTAAAAAATGTCTCTTGGTAAAAATCGCTACGAGCAACCGTTCTCAAGATATTTAGAATAGAAATAGTTAAAACATCATTTTTGACAAAAAAAAATAAACACGTTGAGTAGATAGTTATTTGAGTTATTGATTTATTTTAAAGCGATTTTTACCAAGAGATCTATTTTACGTAAAAAACGTCGTAAATGTCTATTTTTTTACTCAGTAGTTTTATACAGGTATGGACAAAAAGTTATTACTATTTAAACCAGTTAAAAAATATGTAGGTGGCGCCCTCTACAAGAAGGAGTCATATTGACATCAAAATCAAATTTCTAATGTCAAAAAACTCCCAGACACCACTTTTCATCCATATATTGAGTTAATCCTGATTTATGTCATAAACTAAAATACCAAATCTGTTTTTTGTCTGAAAAAATAAAAAAGTTATAGCAGTGAGCCACTTTCGAAAAACACCCGGTATATTAAATGCGTCGTTACCAAAATAGATAAAATGGCAGGAGACAATGAGTGTCGTGGATTTATTCTTACACTTATCATAGAAGAGATCAACAATATTGATTACTTGCAGATTCTGGACACTCTGTATTATATCGGGGGGAGCCATTTTATCTTGTAGACGATTTTTCTTAAAACGGATCGAAGTTAAATTGCTCCAATTGCTAAATAACGCTAGAAGGTAGTTTGTCGAATTGCGGTAACGTTTGACTGCCTCTTCTTCGAGGAATTGTACCACTTATTGCAACTGTTGCCATCTGAAACAAACCAAAAAATGATACAGAAGCCTATATGTATAACCATTTACTGTATACAGGGTGAGTTTCCTACGATGTTCTTTATGGGTATCTCGGTAACTACTGGAGATAGAGAGTCGCTTAAATGGGGAAAGAATTGCAGTTTTGTGGGATCATAAATATGCGCCTTTGAGATTTTTGAAAAAGTTCATGGCTTACTAGATATTTCGAAAAAAACAAATTTCGGCTAATTTAAAAACTGTCCCTAATTCCATTATAAGCTATTTTAGACAAAAGTTGTAGATAATCACATCCTTCAAGAGATCGTGTCCTCCGCTTTTTTCTAAAGCCTGTCATTTTTGACATATGACACAAACTTATCGTCCCATTGCTGCCAAAAGTCACTAACTTACTTTTTATTACTTCCGAGAAAAATGCGTCTAAAAATGTTGCATAAAGATGTTATAGTTAGTAACTATGAAATGAACAGTTAGTTGAATTTAATTTAATTAATGAATTGTTAGTAACTATTCGGTATTAAAATAAAACATAAATAGCCACAAATCGTAGTTAATGGCTTTTGCAATCGATTCTCCGCTTCAAAACATAGTTAGTGATTGAATTTGGTTGTTCGGAAAAATGTGTTAGTGACTTTTGGCAGCAATAGGACATGTTTTTTTTAAAATGGAAACCATAGTTGGCCATGACTTCATAAAAAGCGCCATTTTTTAAGCTTTTTAGTGATATAAGCTATAACATCTTTTCTTCGAAAAATTACTGAGTTATAGCCAATTTTTATAATTTTTAAACAATTTCACTTAGTTAGCGATGGAAACAAGTTCAATCGCCGTTGCTCTCAGAAATGTGAAGCTGTCACATCCAAATTTTGTAAATTAAAATAAACAAAAATTGTAAATATGAATTTTTCAAATGAACGCGCACCAATAGAGTGGTTCCAACATGACTTTCATTATGACACACAACCCCCCACCCCCCATAATGAAAGGAATTTTCATCAAAAATTAAAAATTATTTATATCATAATTATGCAAACGCAGGGATAGGAAGAGGTGGAGTAATTGCATGGGCCTCCTCGATCAACTGACCTATCCATTTTAGAATTTTTTATGCGGTATGGTTAACAATAAGGTTTACAAAAGAACTTATGAGTTAAGAGAGGCACTCGAAGTGGCGGTACGAGAAAAGTTTAATTAAGTTGACCGGTCCCTCTGTGAAAATAGGTAGTAATTCAGTTTTAAAAAGATGCAACTCAAATCATTGGCGGATTTTTTGAACACTTTCTAAAATAACTTAAAGTGTATGTAGTGATATTATTTTTCTAAGCTTTAGTTTGTGTAATGTAAATTGTAAAGAACCGTTTAGTAATATATTCTGACTTTTTAGAAGTTATCAATCATAACAGAATAAAAATACCATGCAATCTAAGTGAAATTAGTCAAAAAAGATAAGAATTGGCTTTAACTAAATTTAACTTTCCTAACATGTCTTGAAAACCGTTCTCTAAAAAACGTAACATTCACCGGTCAACGCATCCTCGAAAATGTATGGTCAAGAAAAGTTGAACCAATAATCATACACTCTTTTCTTCATTTGAAAAATTCATATTTACAATTTTTGTTTATTTTAATTTACAAAGTTTGGATGTGACAGCTTCACATTTATGAGAGCAAAGACGATTAAACTTGTTTCCATGGCTAACTAAGTGAAATTGTTTAAAAATGATAAGAATTGGCTATAACTCAGTAATTTTTCGAAGAAAACATATTATAGCTTATATCGCTAAAAAGCTTAAAAAATGGCGCTTTTTATGAAGTCACGGCCAACTATGGTTTCCATTTAAAAAAAAAAACATATGTTTGTGTTATATATCAAAAATGACAGGCTTTAGAAAAAAAAAGGGAGACACAATCTCATTAAGGATGTGATTATCTACAACTTTTATCCGAAAACTTTTTGTCTAAAATAGTTTATAATGGAGTTAGGGACGATTTTTAAAATAGCCGAAATTTGTTTTTTACGAAATATCTAGTAAGCCATGAACTTTTTCAAAAATCTGAAAAGCGCATGACCCCACAAAACTGCAATTCTTTCCCCATTTAACCGACTCTCTATCTCCAGTAGTTTCCGAGATACCCATAGAGAACATCGTAGGAAACTCACCCTGTATAAAAAAAACATAATACATATTAACGATCTAACATTGAACAAAAACACAAAGGAAAGAGTCATAGATTTAGGTTTGGTTTTTGGAAAGAGTATAACACTATTTTTGTGTAAAGAGTGAAGTGTAGTGTTCATGCATGAGAGACCGAAGAGATACTACACAAGACAAATTATACAGGGTTGTTCACCACATACGACACGGAGTATTGTAGCTAAACGATTAGATTTTTACAAATTGTAAGTTTTGGGTTCGTTGAAGGACTATTAGAGCTACAATTTAAAAATAATTTTACAAGATACAGAGTGTCCCAAATAAGTAAAAAATATTATAGTTGTATTTTTTTAAATATAACACCCTGTATATTATTCTATTTTTGATTCTACGATTGAAATAAAGGTAAATTTGATTAAGGTTTATTACACTTAAATCTTACCGTTTTTGAAATATTTTCAATTTTATGAAATTGCAGTAAAAAATTTAAGGCTTTATTTCTCCCAAGGGTATCAAAGTTTTTAATACTAAATATTTACTGAAGGTTATTTATTGATCAGATATTGTGTTGCAATAAAACATTTTTACTACACAGTATACAGAGTGTCCAAAAATTTATATTAAATAATTACTAGCTTTAAACGGCAATAACTTGTTTAATTTAAATGGAACACCCTATATATTTTACGTGAATCAGATGCACAATGTAATTGTCTATCAAATTGTATTGTTTCATTTTTTACCCATCTCTTCAAGTTTTCATAGAAAATGCATTTTCTTATAATTTAGACCTCATTTATCACTATACCCATGGAATATTGACATTTTAGCGTATTTTTAAAGATGTAATAATTTTTCAAAGGGTACAGATACTAATATTTAATTAAAAAATAAAAAAAACAACTGTTTAAATATTTTTTGTTAAAGAGGACCAATTAATATGATCCCAGTATTCAAACTACATTAATTGACTGTTTACGTTGTAGTAATAATTGCTCCAAATACTAAAAAACTGAATTTTGTGTGTGTATTAGACAGTGTGGTAAAAAGTAACATCTTATAAATTTTATTTCATTTATTGACGAATGCTTATTTATAAAAACAGAGACATTCATTTTCATAACTTATTATTATATTGATTTCTGAGCCAAATCCACATAGGAAATAATGGTGGTATACTTAATTGGTATACTCTTTTACAAAGATTTAAATAGTTTTTTTGTATGCCAATAGGCTTGCAATATTTACCACCTGTACGTTTTGTACATATTATGGTGCTATAAAAAATCGGAAATGTTAATATTTCATGGGTATAGTGATAAATGAGGTCTAAATTGTAAGAAAATGCATTTTCTACGAAAACTTGAAGAGATGCGTAAAAGATGGTAAAATACAATTTGATAGACAATTACATTGTGCATCTGATTCACGTAAAATATATAGGGCGTTTCATTTAAATTAAACAAGTTATTGCGGTTTAAAGCTAGAAATTATTTAATATAAATTTTTGGACACTCTGTATAAGGTAGTAACATTTTTATTATTGGAACACAATATCTGATCAATAAATAACCTTCAGTAAATATTTAGTATTAAAAACTTTGATACCCTTGGAGAAATAAAGCCTTAAATTTTTTACTGCAATTTCATAAAATTGAAAATATTTCAAAAACGGTAAGGTTTAAGTGTGATAAACCTTAATCAAATTTACCTTTATTTCAATCGTAGAATCCAAAAATAGAATAATATACAGGGTGTTCCATTTAAAAAAATACAACTATAATATTTTTTACTTATTTGGGACACTCTGTATATTGTAAAAATATATTTAAATTGTAGCTCTTCAAAAAACCCAAAACTTACAATTTGTAAAAATCTAATCGTTTAGCTACAATACTCCGTGTCGTATGTGGTGAACAACCCTGTATATTTAGTAATAATCGAGAACAAGAAGAATACAAACAAACAATATTATTGTATTAGTAGTAAACACACAGAAAATTACCTTACCTCTGGACATCCATAGCTAATCAGCAATTCCACCAAATTCTTGCTAGCCATCGCCGACCCGTCCAGACTAGCGCTCTTCGCCGCCGAGCACTTCGCCATGGCTATACTCGCCGCGGCTTTAGCGTAGGCCAGACACGTCCTGCCATCCTGGTCCACAGCCTTTACGTCCGCGTTATGCCAGATGAGCAACTGCGCCACTGCCAGGTTGCCCATGGCGCAGGCCAGGTGCAACGGCGTGCGCAGGTCTCGGGGTCCCACCGTCGTGTTGACTTGTTGGGCGTTGACCAGGGCTAGGACGTGGATGATGGACTTTATGTTGGAGGCGCAGACGGCGTCTATGAGCTGCTGGCCTAGGGGCATGGTGGTGTTGGGTGGGGGGAGGAATTCTTTCTGTTCGTATTTCGATCGTATCCATCTTTCCTGGAAATAAAGATATGTTTGGAACGACTCTTTTTTATTATAAGACAAGAATATTCAATGCATTTATAAAATAGAACTCTCTCTTATTTGCTCAGATTCAAATGCTTTATACTAAGGGCTGGCAAAGATTAGTCTTGAGTCGAGATTTCCGTATGTAAGAAGAGTACAACGCATTTATAATGTATTGAACAAAGAAAAAACAGAAGAAACACGTTGCCAAACGTATGAAATAAACCGAGAAACTATACACATTGCTAAGAGACGTGGAAGGGGATATAGCAGATTTGTCGCAGTTGGCCGGTCGGTCGACCCAATCAGTACCTCTGTCAGTACTTAAAGTTGTAGGGAAAGGTGTATACATCATGGGTTCAGCTTCACGATTTAATTACGTCTCGTGATATTTTATTTGTTTATTTATAAACGAGTCGTTGTAATTTTCCCTATAGCTTAAAAATGTTTAAGTGCAAGCTAGAAACACTTGCATTAAAAATAAGTTGAATTGAGTTAGTTTTCGACAGTGATTGCGCTATTAGAACTCTAAATTCAAAAATCAATATCTCGAAATCTATTAGAAATAATTGATTATAGTTTTTTTTAAAACTTTCTTAATATTTCTGCTATATTTTCTTCGCAGGCAATATGTGAAAATATTTATAAATGAAAAAGTTATACGATTGCTGTAAATTGCTATGCACTAAAAGTAAATGGATGGGTTATTTAAAATTTTTGAATGGAAAAGAGCAACCTTGTCGAATTTTTCTTAAACATATTGTAAAAGATCCGATCTTCAAAATAAAAAAAAATCTAAAGTGGTTCTTAAGTTATGGCATTACTAACGTTTTCTCGTTATTAAAAAATGGATACCTTAACAATGTCCTTATAATTCCATTTCAGATGCTGAGAAACATACCTAATAATTTTATCTAGTTTTCTTTTCGAAAAAAAAGTATTTTAAAAATAAGCGGTTGGTGATCGTGATTTTACTTTAGCTGATATGGAAAGGCATACCAGCAACGCCGCAACAGCACACCGTCGCATTTCTCTCACTCCGACTTAGTAATAAGATCCCTATGCGATTTACTTCCACACATGTAAATACCGACTCAAAAGTAACAGTTGCCAGCACGGTATAAACTGATTGTTAGGAATTCCACCTTAGGGAAAAAACAGAAGAACAAGAGTTTTTTAGAGTTAAATTTAAAGATTAAGTATCCTCTAAAAATTATGACATATTATTATAATTTTTTAACTGCGTTGCGCTTCTATCATCAATAATTTCATCTGTGGAAATAACTTTATAAAACAGATTATAGTAGCGATGTTCCTAAATTTACCTTTTCTTCACGACTAGATGTTGGTGTAGGTTTGGTACGATTGTGCGTTTGGCATTCCCAAACCGAGTTTGCCAGAGTATTGCCGATTGCGAGCATCACACTTTGATTCCCGGGACTAAAAAAAAGCAAACATATTAAACATAAAACCATAACCATTCTAGATTACAACTATTAAAAATGTGCTTATACATAACAAAACTATTAAATTTACATTAAATACATTAGGAAAGTCTAATTATAAGCTTTAAAAACACTAATACTTACGGCCATTCATCCAGATCCAGTGATCTTACTCTAGAGATGTGTGAACCGAGATTCCTGTGGATTCCAGAACACTCTATACACATCAGTACGCCTAAATTTAAACTAGCCCAGTCCGGATCTGAAAGTGTAAAAGAATACGTAAATTACCTATAATTTTTAATATTGTGGGAATGTGGCTTCTGAAAAAAGCAGTAAAATATCAGTGGTTGCTCGTACTAAAGGCCACAAGAGCACTTGCCCACCCAACACCCAAGATGAAAGGAAAAAAATAAGTATACAATTGAATGTATGATCATATATTTACGTTACAGTTTACACGATCAAATAACGATATCATTTCTAGCATGAAAGGCAAAAATTAGAAGGACAAACTTTATGTACTAAAAATATAAGATATGTTTTTTTGTTGAGGCACCGTCCTTCAGAACTCACAAGTCGCGTATTGAAAAATATTGAATTATAATGGACTTACTTGGTGCATCACAGTCTACACAAAAACCATTGCCGGGTACCCTGTTTTTAATTGACTGAATTGAAGCGGCCTCGTTTGGATTTTTGGCTTTCGATGATTCGTTCAGTTGGAGGGAGTTGAGGATTTGCTGCTCGATAGCGGCAACCCATTCGTCCCTTTCCTCCACACTGGAAGCGTCGAAATGCCATTGTTTACCCTCGAGGGAGACGATGTAGAATTCGTAACCGTCCGCATCTAGAACATGAGTAAAAATTAGTCAGTAAATGAGTTGGTTAAATCTTAACAGTACTAGAGGGCAATAATGAGCGCTTAAAAACTAAATTTGAAGTCTATTTCAAGAGATGCGAAAAAAAAAATAGCTAAACGAATCAGAATCTAGACAGATAGTCCCTTTCAATTCTACAGACGTTCCAAATACCGTATGATCGAATAAAAACGGTGTCAGCGATGGCTATGAAATGAAGATCGCTGTCATTTTAAATGTAAAATTATATGGAAAATGTCATCGATCGTCATTTCCAAGCCGTCTGCATGGGAAAGAGATTAAATAGTAGGACTAAAATGGGAAAGATTAAAATTAATTACTCATTAGAACCATGGTTGGTAAACTTAAATGGAAATGACAGTTCATTAAAAATAGTTGGTACTCCAGCCCCCAGAGTATACAAAATTCCAAAACTGTCAATATCAATAAGGAAAATGTTAGAGACTTGATTTACAACTGACACGGGGCGCTTTAGCTGTGATTTTACGCTTTGGATTCGTTTTGCTTCTATGAATTACGCCGTTTTTCAGATCATATTATATTATCCGACCAGCTAGCCCTCTCCAGCTTGTTGCATATCAGATAAATGATAGATACAATCTAAGATATCGCTCTATAATTAGGGATGCCAAAGTCTGGAGACATCTACAAGCTGTAACAGGAATTTAACAAGGCATCCAGCTTTATGGACACTACAAAATTAGAATGACAGTTCATTTCAAATGACCCACAGCTCCGCAGGAAATGTAAATAGGAAGAGGAAACTGTAGCTAAGCAACTGCTAGATCTGTTATAACATATGAGTGACATCTAGACTACTGTAGAGCGACTTCCCAGGAGACTTCTGGGAGTTATATTCCCACTACCCTCTTTTTTAAATTAGTTTGATCGATTGTCTATGTGATTTGATCATATATATGGCATATCCTAGATCTTATCACACTACGTGAGCTACTCGCCAGCTCATACTTTTCTTTTTTGTAATTTTTTGAACTAGATATACAGGGTGGTCCGAACTGTATTCCGGAAACTTCAGCAGCATATTCTGCAAATAAAAATAAGTAAAAAAGTTCGTATAAATGTATGTCCTAAAATGCTCAGTTTCGGAGATACAGGGTGTACAAGTTTAATTTTTATTTCGATTTTTTCTAAATAATTTCTGAAGTAACGTCGAATTATTCGAATATTTCGATGAAAATTAGTGTCTGGGAGTTTTTTGACATGAGAAATTTGATTTTGCTGTCACCAATTTTCATCCAAATATTGACGTTACTTCAGAAATTATTTGGAAAAACTCTAAATAAAAATGAAACTTCTAAACCCTGTATCTTCGAAACTAAGCATTTTAGGACATACGTTTATACGAACTTTTTTAATTATTTTTGCCTGCAGAATACTGCGGACCACCTGCGGACCACCCTGTATATTAAAAATTATCTAGTAGCGACACTTACCATCGTATTCCGAGTTTTTCACTCCGCTACTCTTCACCCTTCTATGCCTCTTCTTCACGTTGGGCGTTTCCGTCTTGTTGATTTCCCCATTCAGGAAGGAATTACTGCTGGAAAGGGTCATCCCTTCGTCCCCGCTCGCTTGGGAATACTTAAAACTGGGATCCTTGACCGTTTCGAAAGCGCTCAGGAGGACTTTCTCCGTCGGTCGCTTATCCTTACCTAAAATAGTTAATTAATAATTGTAGAGTTTGGAAGAAATGAAAACAGTGTTGAGGTAAACTTTACCTATAATTGACAATCCTCCAAGGTTTTCATGCAGAGCGCTGTTGGTTCCACCGTAGCCTTGAGATGAAACGGTTACAATAGATTTAGATCCTGAAAAAAAAAACACAACATACAATTAGAAGATTGCCGCGAATTAAAATATAGAGGGCGCGCACCTCATTCGTCTCAGAAATATGTAGAAACAAAATATTTTATGGGTGTATGTGGGAAGGCAATGTGCACAATTTAAAATTATTTTGAAATATACACGATGTTTCAGAATTAAGATCCATACCAAAGTTATATTTTTTCTTATGGAAAACCGGTATTTTATTTCATTTTTGGATTCTTGGGTCAAAAAAAGGCATTTATTATAATGGTTAAATACGTTTAAAATATTTGGTTTTTGAGATATTTAAAGATATTTAAATATGCATGCTACAATAGAATAGATTATTAACACCCTGTACACATTACTTTTCAGAATTAATTCTTGTGCTGAGTTTACAGGGGTACCAAAAATTAGTGATGGGAATAATCGAATTATTTTCACCATCGAATAATTAGTAATAATTCATATTTCACAATCGAATTAATAATTCGAATTATTTAGTAGAATCTTTGAATAAGAAGACTAAGGAAGGAGCATATCAAAAATCTTAGGTACACCGCGATGGGCCTCAAATATGGCCGACTTAAATTCCGGTTTATCAGTGTCGTTCTAATTTTATTTAAAAAATGTAAAACTATGATGTAGGGTAGACGTGGGGTAGACTCAATAATTTGTTGTTTTATTTTACGTTGTGAATAAATGTTGGTAGTTATTAAAATTGTATAAAAATATATAATTCTAATAAAAATAGATAAGTTATAATAAGTATTTATTAACACAAACATCCGATACGCTACTGAAGCAGGTAAGTCAAATTAGCGTATCTAAATTCTTTGACATCTAATCTTTGACAGTAATAAATAAAAGCTAAAATGCAAGAAAAATATATAATTTAGTTAATTTAAGTGAATTTCATAAATGATCGGTTTACTACACGTAAGTATATTATATAGTCACTTACTAGCGAAAAGTTGTTCCATTATTTCACTCAGTTTTTGCCGAGATTTTACCGCACGCTACACAACCAACTATTTTAGAGTCTTTTTCGATAAATCGCGATAGTGTCACTGTTAATTTAAGTTCTGCCACAATTTCCATCTAGATTTACTACCTTTATACAACTATCAGTAGTAGAATACATAATAAATAACATAAAATAAGCTCCGTAAAGACTGACAAATCCACAAAATTTCAAATCAAATTCAAATGTGTCAAATGAATCGTCAAACAGAACTGTCAAGGATCCCCACCCTAGAGAGCTTTTATGGTGCCTTTTCCGCCCACCATGCATGAATACATGGATAGCATTATGCTCCTTCCTTAGTCTTTTTATTCAAAGAGTAGAATTATAAATTTAACCTAAAAATAAATTCGTCCCAGCTAGTGCTCGTCTAGGGGCTATTTTAAACAAATTCTGAACCATTGCCATACCTATATTCTATCACTGAATAAAGAATAAAAAAAGATATTCTTTATTCAATGTATTCTATTAACTGTACCGAAGCCGTTTAATAAATTAAACCATAATTTAAAGTTTCAAATTTAAAAGTGCCGAGTTTATGATTGTTATTGTTATGGCCTTTTATAAACATTTCAATTCCTATTGAAAACCTCATATCTAAAATAAAAGCTTCTTCTAAAACGATATAAGTAAGTCCTTGTTTACGTGCGGTTCGTATTTCTTTTTATTTTATCAGTTGCAATCAATAATTATTTAAATAAAAGAAGAAAATTAATGTTAGTGTTCGGCAGGTGTTCGGTGAAATTTGGGTGAGATGGAAATGAACCAAATAATAGTAGTATTCTTTCGTTCTGAACGAAATGAAAATTTTCACTTAAACTGATTTATTCCTACGTGGTATAGGAAATAACAATGATTTCTGGATTTTTCTATATCGGATCGTTCCTTTCTTTGTCGATTCCCTTTATAAATCAGTTTATGTTAAAATTTTCAGTTCGTTCAGAACGAAAGAATACTACTAATAGCTGCTAATAGTACTAATTACTAATATTCGTCCATACCGTCCATAAGAGGTTATGTTTTATGTTCATTTGTAATTCGGTTACCACAGATATAATATAAAATACTACTAATTTTTATCTCGATTATATCGAAAAAGATAATCGAATTAGTTAGTTTTAATTTACTATCGAATTAGTCGTATTATTTAATTCGAATTCTCTCAACACTACCAAAAATTGCTTATCAATTTTAAGGATCTATTTTATATAAAAACTTCGTTATTTCAAATGCAACACCCTGTATATTTTTAAATAAATCGAAGCAAATTTAAATGTTCCTTCAAACTATATTAGGGGTTCCTATACTTATGTAGCTCAGATTTTGAGTAAAAAGCGATTTTTCAATAAAATGGCAATCATGATGGCTAGTATCGCAATGGCAATTTTCTAGTGGCAGTTAGTAACTAGTTATTTTATCAAGAAAAATAAACCAGAATCTGCTGGCGAACCGAATGGATATGTTACTAGTGAGTTATGAGAAAAATTGCTTCTTGGCCTCAAGGGCTTATGCTTAAAGATATCCAAATAAGAATCTTCCTGACAAGCGTTTCTTTGAAAAACTACTTGTCCTATATTGTTCTTGTCTCGTCACGGTAGTATAGTTCATAAAAAACCTATTAGGCAGAAACCTGTCGTTGAAAGTGAAGAAAATGAATTTGCCGTAATCGACTCTTTTATAGAAAAGCCAGATATCGACAAGTCATCGTAAAATAAATTCAAGAACTACTTCGTTTTTTTTTGATAGAAAAATAAATACATATTTAATAAATATTATTTACTAAACTATTGTAGGTAAATTAAATAAAAGTACACTGGTATAAATTTAAATAAAGTCCATAAACTAATTTCGATTTTGAAAATAGCTACTAAAAGTCACTAGAAATTTGCCATGACGACAATAGCCCTCTTGATTGCCATTTTATTGAAAAATTGCTGTTTATTCAAAATGTAAGCTAGACAGGTATCGGAAATCCTAATATTTTTCATTTTTTATTTTTATAATTTCATTTCACTAATACTAAAATTTAGGAAAAGCAAAAAACTTGAAAATACGATTTCCCTTAGCCAAGTAAAAAAGAATAATAAACAGCTCAAAAATAAAATTACGCGATAATTTATGTAAAAAGATTATTTATTTCAAAATTTTACTTAGAATGTATGTAACTTACCTCGAGGTTTTTGACCTGGAACCTTAACAGTGACATACTGGAGTGAAATCTCCTTTCCATGAACATCATCCATATAATCGTGCAAACTCGGATGATACGTCAACCTTCCATCATCGCAAAGCGTCACGTACTTCTTTTTCCATTCCTTATTCAACGGTTTACTGGATTTCTTATAAAGATACCCCTGTTATAAATACAATAAGAATTATCCCAAAATTTATGAGTAAAGATTTATTAAATACCTGTTTCAATGGTATGGCTCTACCACTACCAAAATCACCACCGTTCTTCAGCTTATCATTCTTGGATGGAGTGAAGAGATTCGATCTTCTTCTGTTTTTCCTTGACGTTGTTGGCGTAGAATTGGGCGTGGGTAAGTCTTTTAGGTCCTTAGAGTTGTTTTGTTGCTGTTGCTGCTGCGCAATCTAGATAAGTTAGTTTTAAATAAGTTCCATTTTCGAATAAATTAATGTATATACATTCTACAATCTAGAATGGATGTTGCATTTTCAATGTCACTTAGATATTAATATTACGGATCAACAAAATAAACTCTTGCCAACTTTTTGGCGGGATTAAGATCCAAGGTTCCCAAACTATATTTTACCTGAAGATTATCCAAGGAATGAGGCGCAGCAAACTTGGCAACGTTGTTATTCTCCGTCGTCACCGCTATCATCCCTTGCGACGAATTAATACTAGCCAATGTCGACGACGAAGAGTTCCACTTTCTCTCCTCCTCGCACGACTTGTAACTATTGCTATCCTTGTCCGACTGACTGTTCTGATGCACCTGCTTCGGTACGATATGTTGCCGGATGTCCTGGATCAGAGACATGTCCTTGAAATCCTTGTTGTGAGGTAACGTGTGATGTCCGGGCGACATGTGCAGCGACGTTTGACGTTCCATTTGCACGAAGCCGTTGTTGGCGTGTAGGTGGCGCTGCACGGCGGCGGGGTGGTAGTGGCTATTTGGGGTGGAGGGACGGGAATTGGTCGGGGTGAGGCAGATGGAGGATTGGCTCAGTCTTTGTTGGACAATTTTTTGACAAGCTGAAAAGAAAATATTAAAATAAAATGATTATTATCAATGGCAATAAGTATGTATAGGGTGGTGGGTAAACTTTGTTATACAGACTACGCAGCTAAACAACTTTAAACTATTTTAATTCGTTACACGATATCAATGTACGAATAATCAAACATCTACAAAAATACTGAAAATCACGAAGAATAATCTGGTTTAAACGCCTCCAGCGCTAGACAGCTGTTGCTCGTTATCAGTAAACCTACGATTTAGAGCTAGAAGGATAATAAATTTCCCGGTAAAAGATATTAATGATGCTGGGGTAATTACGTCTGCCGTAAATACAGAACTTGCGGAGTATCGTTTATCTTTTCGAGCGCTTTTTCCAACAAGTGGGTGCTAGTTAGACTTTGATTTGAAAATAGTATCAGACATATTCAGACAAATTTTGAAGGGGATAAGTTCACTAAGTTGAGAGTAAAAGATTCATTAAAAAAGTTTTATAAAAAACTTTATTTTTTGTTGACAGAAAATTTAATGTCAATATATTTTGTTTCATCAAAATATTCCTTTATCTACTTAAAAAGAATTCTAGGTTTTTCGCCACTAGAAGAAAATCTACAAAATAAAAAAGTTGTTTTTTGTATGTGCTACGGCTAAAATGGATACTTGGCTAGTTTTCAAACTAGCCAGCTATTTTGCAAACAGCGCTGATATTTTGTTGGTTAGGTGTTAGTTTGCGGTCTTTCCATTTTATATATACTCTGTTTTTTTCTCAGGTAAGATTTCGACAGACGATGACAGAAGAAAAGCAGATGACGTCCCATACCAATCTATTTATTTTACTAAAAAAAGTTTCTAATTATTTTTAAGTTATCTATGGATGGGTTTAAATATAAATCCGTCATGCGTCGTGTCTTGTTGTTTTTAACCAGTTTTATTGGTTTATTTAAAAAATGACAGATCGTATTTCAATTTTATTGGTTTGACGGAACGATGAACGACAAACGGACGCCGATGCGTATGAACTCGCCTTTAGATTTTTGTCATTTTTGACGCTTGTCAAAGTCTTGCCAAATTATAGGTTATAATTTTGTGTCAACTTTTGTTGAATACCCTGCGTTTTGGAAGATGATGCATTTTGATTCGTATTATTACGTGTGTTTTGTGTCTTTTGAAGTCAAGTGGAGGAAAAATCGAGTGAAAATTAACTGTAGACCCAGAGCACAGTTTATGGTTAATACTCGCTGCCCAGGCAGGAAGTCTTAAACCAATGAAGTTGCCATCGATAAAGTTTGTATACCATTTCGTCGTAGATAAATGCATCTCGTATAAGGTAGAAGGATCAAACTAAACACATACTAAAAACTGGAGTAGCTGTAAAATATCGACATCACACGATAGGCAAATAATGGATTTTAGTACTGCAGAAAAATAATGTCAAAAGGTACTGGTTTAAAAAAATTAAGATTAAAGTTAATTAATCAACCTTTAAGGTATAAAATTTGGTAGGAGTTATTATTAATAAAATAGTTTGTTTTATTTACCTATGTTGTTTTATTTATTCCTGCGGAATATTACAAATTTGTATTTGTACATAAGTTATATTGATAAATTTAATCATAAATGCGGGTAGTTTCATAAAGCTTGAAAGTAAATAATAGTTCTTTTTTATATTTTTTTGGTATGTAGTGTCTTGTTCTTGTTTGTTTTGTATTAACACATACCGTTTTTATTAAATAAAATAACTCGATTACATTTTTTCAGTTTTATACAGTTTTTTTTCACAATATTTTGAAGTAATCACTTGTCATCTTGTCAATCAAATTTTAAATATTTCCTGCTATGCGTTCCAGTTGTACCAACTTATTCCTTTGTAAAATAAAATAAACTACTTTGAAATTAAAATGACAGACACATCTATCACTGTCAAGGATCTTCTCGTTGGACAGACTATATATCCATGTTAGCCGTAACATATATACCACTGCGTCGATCCAATGAAGAACAATTTGTCAGTAGTATTTTACTAATAAAACAAATTTGCCTGACTGACAAAAAATGCTTAACGTTTCAAGAGGTATATCTTATATCCCCCCCCATCGTCAGAACCAAAAAAAAAACACAAAAAACAAAGAAAAAACTATTTAAAATATCTAAATACAAAAAAAAAAAAAATAAATTAATTATATTATTATTATTCAATTATTTTCTTTAATATTTCTTGTTGCTTAGATAAGTACATATTTAAGAGGCATTGGGAAACTTAAACAAAACAAAAATATTTTTCTTAGAAAAATTAAAAATGGTAGTTTTCCAAAATCAGTTAATACATAAATAGTACAAAAATATAATTTATAACAAAATTTTAATTCAATGAGCAAGTATTACTTTCATACTTTCTTACTGCAATTACAACAAATAGGTTGTAAGATGTTTACAGTATTCCATCTTTAAGCCATCTTTATGTTTGTTTAGTATCTATTTCAGTGAAAATATACATGGGAACGGTAAATAATAGCATTTAATTAATTCACTAGTTATTAAGCAAATCTCAAATATTAACAAATTAAAAAATTTCAATTAATATTCATCATTCACAAGGTATAGTTGTTGTCAGAAATAATTCAGATTGTTTACATTTAAAATGGAGCCAAATGCATTCAAATGATACAATCATCGTTATAAAGAATTGGGAAGATAGACAACCTAATGGGCAAATTCGTGACAAGGCTGATTTGATTTCCCCATACGTCTCAAGGGCTGTACTGTGGAGCCTCTACTCGTTCTGCGGCCAACGCATAAAATACTCATTTTCTCTAATTTGGCTAACGAAGGCACATCGAATACGCTGTGGAACTGAAAGCGACAGTGTTGCCATATTAAAATGTATCTGTAACACGTCTGATGAAAATATCTTTGTATTGAAAACCCGCGTTTATGTATTGAACATTTATTCGTGTTGAACATAGAAAAAACATCAAAAATAAAATTAGAAAATTTTACCACCCTGTATCTAAAAAGTTAAGATGTTTAGGACATACATATTTGCATATGAAGTTTTTTTCTTAGAATAGGTCCAAGAATCACCTCCTTAAATATTATCATGACATTAAGGAATACCTTAATGTCATGATAATATTTAAGGAGGAATAATATTATTGTCGAGAATTAAGGCCTCTACAACTTGGTTAATTAAATGTTCCTCTTATTTTTATTAGAAATGATCGAAAAGTTGAAAAAACTTCTATGTTACAAGTTTTGATACTTCATGTTAATTTAATAGTAAAATAAATGAAGAATGAAAAACCTACAATGTCCATTTCACAAACTCATGCTAAAATGAGAGTGAATATAACAATATCCAAATAATAACGCATAGAGTAATACTTTTTTGTACCTTTAACATGATATTTGGCAACATTAAATCAGTTTCCATCGGCATCGTCTGTTTTCCCCTTATCTTTCAAATACTACTTTTTTACAAAATTATTCATACAAAAGTTGTGTAGAATTTACTGCTCAATAAATTCGTTCACAACCTTCTTTTGGCGAAAAATGCAAACCGCAAATAGTTATTTTTTATATAAGACGATAAAATGGTATTTTATCTTTGACCGAAAGGCAAAATGACAAATATTTGCCGGTCATTTCAGCCTCGTCCCAGTGTTGTTTTAATTGTAAAATGTGAACGTGTATTTGGATTAATTTTAATTGTATTTGTAAGTTATGACGACCTTTTTATTATTTGTTATTTATTTAGGTTCTTTCTTGTTGGGTCTGATGATGCTCGTATATGAGCGAAACACGTGTAACAGTTTAACATTGTATAAACGTTGAGACCGAGACTTTGAGTCTTTTTTCTACCTTTTTTAATTTGAACCAGGTCTCTTTGAGAAAAATGGATGCCTTTTTTAAATATCAACTATAATTGAGCTATATTAATGCCATTCATTATTACGAAAATTCAAAGAGATTGCTTGACTAACGTTCATCATACTCGATTACTCATCCCTAACGAAAGGAAGGAAAATATTAATTATATTAAGCAAGCGATTCACTTACCATCTTGGAACACTCGTTCGACGTTGAGGCCGTAGGTGGCGCAGGTTTCGTAGTAGGAACACCTCTTCAGATCGTTCGCCAACTTCCTCGCTCGCGAATCGTCTATGACGCGTGGGTTGTTCTCGCTTATTGCATCTGGAAAAAAACCACCGTTCTTAGTTTAATACCATCTTATCTGATATTCATAAATATGCTGCCTCATGGGCGCAACATCATCATTAGTGTGAACTGCAGATAAATAAAAAAAATATAAAAAAGAATTGATTAATTAAGATAATTAGATTAGCAACTTGGAATGCAGACAGTATTTCTGATTTTAGTTACAAAATAGGGTTATCTCGTTTATTAGTAAAGACAGAACCAAAGCGCCCAAAAACTGAAAGTTAAAAAGATAGTACAGATAGACAAGGCGAGTAAGATTAGAGTTAAGCTTCATTCAGAACCTCGAAATTAGTGAAATAAGTTAGTGATTTCAATTGATGCGTTAAGTTGCAAAACCCGCCTAATAACATATATTAATAGTGGGACTGAAATCTACATAACCATAATCCCAAACAGCAGTAAAAGTCGCCTATTCCTATATAAAATTCACTACAAATTACGTTACTACAGCAAAATCTGTCTTATCCACTTATAATTACTTTTTATTGTCAATATTGTTACAAATCCCGCATTTTTTCATAAGCTTCTCTTACACAAGTATAACATTACTACTGACGTCTTTTTAAATCCTTACTTACTTTTAATAAAATAGTATATCTAATAAATCAGTTTAGGATGTATACCGGGTGCGTCTCAAAATTGGTTCACCCCTATAACTTCTTTATTTTTTCAGATAAAAAAACGAGATTTGGTATGTTAGTATATGACATAAATTAGGATTGATTGACATTGGTCAATTGTTTTCGGTCACTGCCGGTTTCACCGGAAATGGCTACAACTTTCGATTTTTAAATGGCACCATCGATATTTTTTTACTTGATTCGATAGAAAATGACACTCTGAATAGAATGACATATCAATCAACTTTTGACATTTTCGCATATGGTATATTTGAAATTATAACATGCGGTTCATAACGACAATTTGACTTGAAATACCAAGTGTGTGGTATCAAATTATTCGTAAAAAAATGCTTTTTCCAAATATGCTAATGGGCCACCCTCGTTCCATTTGAAAAAAATGAGATATGATTAAAAATACGAGATGGACATCAGTTAACCGGCTAGGACAAGACACTAAAAACATTAGACGATCATATCTATTTTTCCAAGGCTCCTTGATTAAAAATTAGTGTTTTTAACACAGCCTAGATTGATATTTACACACTCTAGATTGATATTTAAAATACAATTTGTTTTTGAGTAAATATGTCAAAAGTTGACATACGTCATTTGATTCAGAAAGTCATTTTCTATCCAATAAAGTAAAAAAATACCGAGGGTGCCATGTAAAAATCACAAATTGTAGTCATTTCCGGTGAAACAGGAAGTGACCGAAAACAATTGAAAACGTCAATCAATATCAATACTAATTTATGTCATATACCTACTAACATACCAAATCTCGTTTTTTTTTATCTAAAAAAACAAAAAAGCTATAGGGGTGAGCCACTTTTGAGACGCTCCCGGTATAATGTCTTGGTCGAAAAAAACGGCATCCAGTTGGCTAGGAAATGACGATCGATGACTTTTCCCATATAAAATGACAGCGTTCATCATTTCATAGCCATCGCTTGCGCCGTTTTTTCTCGATCATATTGTATCAAAACCCACAATATGCATCATACTGCAATAAAACCCGCCTTATCCGAATTGTTTTTGTGTTTTTTTCTGTTTAAAAATTAAATATTAATTTTTATTTCTAGAAAAACGGACCCGTTTTTTGTAAATTAACGCTTCAAACATTTGCTAAAACAGTTTTTGCATATTATCTCGAAACGTTTGTGAGATAAGACGGGTTTTGCAACTTGACGCCTCAATTATACTTTATACTTAAAATTTTAGGATCATTTACAATTATTCCAAAAAAATAAAATTAGAAAAAAAATAGAACCAGAAATAAAATAATATCCTAGCAGCAGTTTGCTGTAGTCAGTTGTATCAGTAGAAATAGCTGATAATAAGCTTATAAAACAAAAAAAAACTTGTCATTTCGAATCATAATAATTTCTCTTGACGGATGATAATCAAAGAACAAAGCATCACTAATTTTAACGTTTGGAATGTTTCAGAATACAAAAACTGAAAGAAATACACAGGGTGTTCCTTTTACAAAACCGAAGAAAAATTATATTATATTTTAGAAAGCTTGGAGTAGAATTTTGAACACCCTGTGTAATTTAAGGTCACGATATTTATAGCATAGTTAAGTATATACCATCTAAAGTAAATGTTTAATATAGTTTTAATTTCAGGACAGTTCTTGTATTTGTAATAATTAAAAAAAAGGCTGAAAAATATAATTTATTTATTTATTTATTAATATCTCTGAAACTATTGAAATATATTTACTCACAAAAATGCAATAATATACAGGGTGTTCCATTTAAAAAATCATCCCAATTCTCTCACACTGTATAAAGACTATATGATTCGCAATACCAAGTGTGAGGTACCAAATAATTATTAAAAAAAACGCTTTTTCCAAATGTGTTAAAGAGCCACACGCGTTCCTTTGAAAAAATTGAGTTATGATTAAAAATACGATTTGATCATGTTTTAACCGGCCAAGAAAAGACACGAAAAACATTAGAGCATCAAATCTATTTTACCAAGGCTCCTTGATTAAAATTTAATGGTTTTAACATAGCTATGGCAATCTATATTAAAATTTAAATTACATTTTTTTTATCCAAAGATGTCAAAAGTTGACATATCGTATGTCATTCTATTTAGAGTGTCCTTTCTATCAAATAAAGCAAAAAAATATAGAGAAGACCATTTAAAAATAAAAAATTGTAGTCATTTCCGGTGTGAGAGGAAGTGACCGTATTTAATACGTCAATCAATTCCGATTTATGTCATATAGACCAAATCTGTTTTTTTTTATCTGAAAAAAAAAATAAAAAATTTATAGCGGTGAGCCACTATTTATAAACACCCAGTATATTACAGTATTTAATACAAAAGTATGTATATCTATAAAATGTATAAACTTTGTATTCATTTCCGAAACACCACGTGGCTGCCGTCGCGTCGTAAACAAAACCCCATAAATTTTACTGCGGACATCGGGACGCGCGTCTGCCAAAACCGTTTTTATTACCTTGCGTTCCGACCAGGATGAATGGTATCTCTACCGAGTTCCTGTAATGCGACATTTTCGTGTAGTAGTTGTAGATGGCGTTGAAAGACGACTCGTTCTCCAAACTGAAGACGAAAATAACGGCGTCCACCCAGGCAGTAAACTGAAACAAGAGAGAGAAATAGTGTTATAAATAAAGTCAGGAGTGTAGTGTTGGAAGTGCTGATAAAATATACAAAAGAGGGCATAAATAAGGCACGAAAATATCTTAACTGTACCTACAACGTTTTACACATTTTTAGTTGAATTTAAAGTTTAATTAGATGCAGCGACTCTGATAGTACCGTATAATATAAACCGAGAAGATTTATAGTGAACAATATCCTTATATTATGGAAACGTGTTAATGCAATACGTTCAATTCTCAAATGTCCTGATCTATATTTTAACTTTTAATATATTTTTTGTACAGAAATTAAAACACTTGCCAAAATCTAAGGCAGACCTGATAACCAAAAACAAAAGACAACAAAATTGTAAAAACTAGTGATTCTACTAAAATGATATTGTAGATTGTTTGGAAGAGGGAGAGGGAGGATATCTTTATTATGTTTTATGTCTCGACAAGATTATATTGGAGGGGGGAAGTTAATAACCGCAACCTTATAGATCTATTGTGTCTCCCTTTCTTGAGTTATAACTCATCATACAGTCTCAGGGCTTTGTCAAAAGCCAGTATCTGAGACGGTTTTACAGATGGTGGTTCTCCATCTACGATATTAGTCATACCAAAGTTTAAGGCACGAATGGAGATCGGGGAAGTTAGCAAACTCATTGAAAGCAGGGATTATAAAATATAATCCTGCTTGAGCTGCTACAATCCTGCTTCAAATTCCAACCCAGCCACATCTACCAATTTTGAGCTATAGTTACTTTTATTTTGGTTGCTGACTTCCCAGTTGGCAACACATGAGAAGCAGGATCGCCAAAACTAGTTCCTGCTTGCGCTGCTATACCCCTGTTGCATCCTGCAATAAATTTCATCCCAGCAACACTTGCTGTTTTAGGTACAGCAAGTTTAAGTCTGATTGATGTCGTCACACATAGCAACACAATAACAGCAGGATGGCTGAAACAAGTTCCTGCTTTTGCTGCTATAATCCTGCCTCATCCTGCTTCAAACCCTATACCAGCCACTCTTGCCGTTTTTGAAATACAGCAAATCTCGTTTTGATTACCGGAAATCGGGAATTGGGAAATTGGAGTTTTCCAATCATATCACCTGTAAAATATCAAATATAAAATGCTTCTAATGATTCCTTTCACAACGAAACTGCCAGTAAATTACGTAAAAATACCCATGGGCTCATTGGGGATGTGAACTGGAAAAAACATTAAACATATACCTATGAAAAATGAAATTTTTATTAAACAAAAAACTAAACTGAATATAAAAGTATGTGCGCGTTAACTACGCAAGAAGCCGATGTATTGCGAAATTCTTTGTCGCAGTCATTAAACACTTCCCACTTCCCATCAATTCTCCTGCAATACGCAATATAGTGTCCAATGGCAGTGGGATCGGTAGGGATTGGCTTCTCGAAGTGACCTACAGACCTTAATATAGGTATATTCTACTGATTGTATTCGAATTGTTAGCGGAATTTCCGTCAAGGCACAATATCCCTTATCGCAATCTATAAAAATGAAGGGTCTGAACGTGTAAACTGATGTTATTGATTTTTTACAACTATTGCAAATTACTGAGCGATCAAAACTTTCGAAACACTTTGACAAACTGGAAAAAAAAGCTAAAACTTATCAAGTTAAAAAAATCATTCCTAATCTTAATATGCGACTGATTACCAGGAATCGATTCGTTCTATTTTAAAAACGACAAGAGTGGCTGGTATGGGGTTTGGAGCAGGATAAGGCAGGATTATAGCAGCCAAAGCAGGAACTTGTTTCAGCCATCCTGCTTTTATTGTGTTGCTATGTGTGACGACATCAATCAGACTTTAACTTGTGTATCTTAAAACAGCAAGTGTTGCTGGGACGAAATTCGCAGTAGGATGCAACAGGGGTATAGCAACGCAAGCAGGAACCAGTTTTGGCGATCTTGATTCCCATGTGTTGCCAACTGGGAATCTAGAATCTAGAATGTTTAGAAGGGGAGTTAATCACCGCGACCTTATAGATCTATTGTGTGTTCCCCTTTCTTGAGTTATAACTCATCATACAGTCTCAGGGCTTTAAGAAAAGCCAGTATCTGAGACGGCTCCACAGAGGCCAGCTCTCCATCCTCGACATCAGACGTGCCAAGGTTCATGGCACGAATGGTCGTCGTCTCGGCGCACTCAGTGATAAGGTGTTCTGGTGTTTCCCCACTTTCCCCACAAAATCTGCATTCGCCGTTGTTTCTCAGTTTCAGCCTACTGAGGTGTTCGTTGAGGAGACAGTGTCCTGTTAGAAACCCCGTGACAATCCGAAGATTGTTTTTACTTAAATCAAGGAAAACCTTTGATTTTTCTCGGTCATAAGTTCTAAGGAACTTTTTCGAGTGTCTTAGACCGTTGGAGGACACCCATTCCAAGTTACGGATGGAGTCTTCCAGATTCTTCAGTTCCGCTTTCAGTTGGTTCCCGTTTGGAAAACAGAAACCAACTGGGAAGCCAACTGGGAAGTCAGCAACCAAAATAGAAGTAACTATAGCTCAAAATAGGTAGGTTTTGCTGGATTGGGATATGAAGCAGGATAAAGCAGTATTGTAGCAGCTCAAGCAGGATCGTATTTTATAATTCCTGCTTTCAATGAGTTGCTAACTTCCCTCACCTCACGAATGGTCATCTCGGTGCAATCAGTGATGAGGTTTTCTGGTGTTTCCCCATCTTCCCCACATAATCTGCATTCGCTTTTGTTTCTTAGCTTATCTAGCAATCTACTGGGGTGTTCATTATGGACACAGTGTCCTGTTAAAAACCCCGTGACAATCCGAAGATTGTTCTTGTTTAAATCAAGAAAAATCATTGAGTTTCATCTGTCGTAAGTACGGAAAATGTTTTTCGAGTGTCTTAGATCGCTGGAGGATTCCCATTCCAGGTTACGGATGGACTCTTCCAGGTTCTTGAGTTCTGCTTTAAGTTGGTTTTCACTTGGAAAGCAAAACGGTTCTGGTCTAGTTAGTGGACTGTTCGCTCCTTTTTTAGCTAGATCGTTTGCGTTTTTATTAAGGATATTGTAAACTCAATGGCTTTTAGAGCTGATGCGATTAACAAACGAAGCCATGTGCAGATTCTGTCAGTGCCATATAGCTTGCTAATTGTGCGGTTAATATGCTAGGGGATATTAAGGCATTGGCAAAGAGATATATTAAAGGTCCCCTGTCTCAGAGTTATTAGACTCATTGAAAAAGATACGACTGAAAAATGAAATGCAATGAATGAATGGTTGCCATAGACGTCTCAAAATCAGAGTTAATGAAACAAAATAGGCACGTTTATAAGCACAACCACATGTCAAAAGTTGACATATGATATGTCATTCTATTAAGAATGTAATTTTTTATCCAATAAAGTAAAAAAATACCGAAGGTACCATTTAAAAATCAAAAGTGTGAAACAGGAAGTAACCGAAAACAATTGAATACGTCAATTAATCCTAATTTGTGTCATATACTAAGACACAACAGCTCGTGTTTTTATCTGAAAAAATAAAAGTTATAGGGCTGAGCCACTTTTGAGACGCACCCAGTATACACAAAAATATGATAAATTATCAAAAATCATGTTTAAATAGTATTTTTTTTTATTACAATATAATTCAGGTACATGGTAACAGTGTAACAACAAACAGCAAGTAAAATGCACAGAGCATTGGTGTATTCCAGTAACCCAGTACCAATATTCCAGTATTTCAGTAACTGAAAGTTTTATAATACGCAAACAAAGAAAATTTTATGACCAAGATCATCCGATTATTGGAATCCTCGAGGATCAATACTCGAAAATTGAAATCATCCGATTGTTCCCAATACTACCTGGAACTATTACGAGGTATCAGCAAAAGGCTTTGAAGCCCCTAAAGTAATTTATTGAAGGTTCAAGTTTTAATCCTTTTTTGTTACACAGGCAAATTTATTTATAGGGGTCAAGAACTACTGAGAACTCTTCACGCGTCTGTGGATTTTAAATGTATTGTTATTTTACAAAAAAAATAGTTATTTTTTATACAAGACGATAAAAGAGTATAATGGTATTTTATCGCTGAGCGAAAAGACTAATTCCGGAGCGATGAAATCGCGAGTGAATTAATTTCGGGAGACGATAATGCAATTTTATCGTCGTGTATAAAACAATATTTTTTCCATAACGAGTTACGTTTTAAAAAATATTCAGAAATTATTATTTCAAGGAATTTATTACGAGTAGAAAAAATATTGTGCTGGGTTGGCGTTGGTTTCTATGTAATTTGACAAATAAATAAAGCTGTGTCTTGAGCTGTCAGTTTTGAGTCAATGTTTTTCAATTCTCTTTCCTGTCGATTGCTGATTGAATTGGCGCCAGAAATAGCTCAAAACGAAATAAGTAAATTATCAACAGATATTTAGGCTGAGGCGACAAACGCCATATTCAAACTACTTCCATTTAAATCCCGAATAACTTATGAAAAGGAATACAATAATTTTCAAAAATGGAATCAATTAAAAAACGTGCGAGAAGAAATAAAGTTTTTAACATATCCTCGCTGTTAAAGTATCATTTAATCTACCCTTGCGGTTAAAGTACTATTTTATCTACTATTTTTGATAGATATAACGCAATTTTAACAGTTGCTATGGAAAAAAATATATTTCCCAGCACTGGTAATACACGTTTCATTAACCAAACGACGAGCGATAAACTCAGTAACCATCAATTCGAAGTTGGTCAAATAAGGCCTACAGAAGTTGAACAAATTAGGCAAAAAAAGTACTGCTAAAAGTCCTGCTAGGTAATGAAAAAGCAAACGATCTAGCTAGAAAAAGATCGAACACCCCACTAACTGGACCAGAACCGTTCAGCTTCCCGAGTGGAAACCAACTTAAAGCAAAACTCAAGAACCTGGAAGACTTAATCCTTTCTCGACCTTACCGAGAAAAATCAAAGATTCTTCTTGATTTAAGTA